GTTTGTTTCTGCTTTACTTGTTAGATTTTTGTTCCACGTGTTTTGAAGCTCCATTGCTAGGTTGCATACCCAATTCAGATGGGATGGCCCTTTGTGAAGAAATACCCCTCTTCATCTCAGTTAAAAGTTCTTGTCTTCATATCTGCCCTGACTGATATCAAATAGCCATTCCTGTTTTCTTAACGATAGTACTTTTACAATGTTTTCCTTTTCACCCTCTGACTTTTAACCTATCTCTTCATTTTAAAGTGTGTTTCACATGAACACAAATAGCAGAGTCTTGCTTTTTAAAAATCCAGTCTGAGGTCCAGGGGTTTAGCTCAGTGGCACAAGCACCTGCCTGATAAGTGCAAGGTCATGAGTTTGATCCACAATACAAAAAAAAAAAAAAAATCCAGTCTGAAAATCATTGCTTTTTAATTGGAGTATTTAGTTCATGTAACTAATATTTCATATTATATAGTTATTGATGCAGTTGCTTCTATGTCTCTCGTCTCACAATTCGTTTTCTATTTCATCTTAGGAGCCTATGTTATCCTCATTTTTTATAATGAGTATTCTACTTTATCTTTTTTCTCAACTATTTTAACTATACTATTTACCTGTTTTTTTTTTTTGTTGTTGTTGTTGATAGTTATTCTGTGGATAACAAAGCACATCCTTAGCACAATATGATATGTGATAAGGTGTGTTTAAATTTTTAAAATGCATTAACAAGACACGTTTCCATTAATCCCCCTCAGTTGGAATACTGTTCTTGCCACTCTCTAGAAGCAGTTCTAAAGGTCCCTTTTGTGAGCATCTTTAGTTGAGCTGTCATGGCTGCCTCCACGTCTAGACTCAACTCCAAATGTTTTCCTTTCACCGTCAAGAATTGCACAATGCCAGACTTGGCAAATAAGCTGGACGAAGACATTGTTTCTAAGAGCCTCTCTTTCCACTGAATTGCATTCCACAGCAGCATTCACTGTGTCTTAAACCTACTTGACAAAGACAGTCATTAAAGAGGAGACCCAGAACGGCTTCAGAAAGTAGCCAGAGCACCTTCCTGGTGCATGTCTGGAATCCCAGGACTTCTGCAGTTGAGGCCTGGCCGGGATACACAGCAAGACCCTGTCTCAAAAACAAACAAAACAGAAAGTGGCAAGAGTGATGGGAGGAGTGTGTTTGAACTAAGGGAGAATAAACTAATTGGACTAATGGCAATGTGTCTTGTACTATAATATTTTTTAAAACTTTAAATTATCATACCTCATCCCACACAAGGACAGGGCCCTTACAGCAGTACACTGCATTTTCTCCCCTTCTTTCCTATTACATGTTTCACTTCTACATGTTATAACTCACTTACTTTTTGAAGAAATTAAGAAATGGAAATGTCCTTTATATCTACTCATGAGTATATATTTTTAGCACTTTGATTTATTTGTAACAGTGGTGTTACAAATTTCAGCCTGTAGTTTTTCCTTTCATTGTTTTAAAGGTGCCATCACACCGCATGGTTGTTCCTCCATTCCAACGAGATGCCCGTGGTCATTTTTCTCTGCTTGATCTTTCCCTCTAGCTGATTTTAAGATTTTTTTCATTGTTATTTTTTAGCAATTTGAGTAGGAGTGCTTCAGTTTCTGTTTATATTTATCCTGCCCAAGTTTCACCGTGCTTTGTGGATCTGTGGCTTGACATTTTTCACCACCTTTGCAACTCTTACGCCTCACTAGATCACTTGATACTGTCGAAAGGATTACTCAGGGCTGTCTATTTTTTAACCACTCCTGTGTTTCAGTGTGGGGAGTTTTTATGGAGTTCACTGACCTTTTTTTTTTTTTTTTTTTTTAACAGTAACCAATCTGTTATTAAGCCTCTCGTGTATATTTTTTTCTCCTCAAGACAATATTAGGGTTTCTCTTTGGTTTGCTTTCCGTAGTCCCTATTCATTTCCTGAGATTCCTCACCTGTTTACTCATTATGGTGCAACATCCTTGCATACAAATTTCAACATTTGTCATGTTTGGGTCTGTTTCTTGACCTTTCTTTCCTTAGCTGTGTGCATTTTTCTGTCTCTTGCCTATCTGGTATTTGTTTAGGTGGTGGGTGCCATATTTGTAGAGTATAGATTTTGTGGATTTCCTCTGTGGATGGTTTTTTCCGGCAGGCAGTTTATTTACTGAAGGATCAATCTGGCCACTTCGAGACTGGATTGTGGTCTAACAGCTCTAGACCAGCCATCAGTTTAAAGCTACGGTAGCACAGCTGCTAGGGTGTGGCTTTGGTATGGTCACCTGAATGTTTGTAATGCTCAGCACGGCTGGTGGAAATGTCAAGCACTTTCTGGAATCTCCATTCATCTCATGACCTGCAAACAGTTTTTCTCATCCAGAGCTTGCAGAGTTTTGCTCTGCACAAACGCATGTTAATTCCAGTGAAGGAAACGCCTGTCTGGATTTCTGGAGCGGCTTCCCCCGTAGCTCCCTTCTCTCCAGTCCCCCAGCTGTCTCACAGTCAGAAATGCCGATTTGTTTCTTCTTCCACTTTCTGGCCTCTGCTTCCTTTTGCTGCTATTTGGAAAGTAGCTAGGGAAACTGGGAAGAATCTGAAGTTTACTTTTTGGTTACTCTTTCCTCAAGACCCAAGTCCCATGGTCATGATTCCGATCAGCACCAGAGTTCTGAGTCTTCGTTCATGCTGGTACTTGGTCAGTTCAGGTGGCTTATGTCGTCCTGTTTGATTGGGACTCTGTTCAGCTCCTCAGCTTTACCACAAGATTTACGCCTCCTGTCACTACCCAGCATGCACATATCAAACAGGAATATACTGCATGTGATCAGACAATATGGTGCATGCTTGATTTTAAAAAATAATTACTGTGAAAGACACATTGCCATTAATCCCCTTCAAAAGAATCCCTTCTTAACTTTAAGTTCTAGAAGTCCTTTTCCATGAGCATCTTCAGTTGTGTTGTTGTGGCTGCCTGGATGACCCGAACCCATTTACTTTAAAAGGTTTATCATTCATGGTCATTGTGACTTTGTAAGATCCAAACATCACATGGTACCAGTGCAGTGAATAAGGTGGATGGGGACACTCCGTAATGTTTCTACATAAAGATAGTCGTCATAAAGATAGTCGTCAAAGACTTCTAGAACTGCCTCAGAAAGTGGCATGAAGAAAGGGATTGGAGTGTTTGAAGTGAGAGGGAGTATCTTGAGGGGGAATAAAGGAGTACGTGTCTACTGTAATACATTTTTATAAAATCAAACATTCACTGTATATTTGTAATACATTTGCGATTTAAATACTGACTGACTGTATATTTTGATCATCTCCTGTGCACTCTATGTTCCTAACAAACAACTACTTTCAGTTCTTTAAAGATGCTGGAGGATCCCCCAGTTCAGGATTCTTCATGTTATATTCTCTACCTATAACTCTGACCATCTCTTAGCTCTTCCTCGTCTTTCCAAATCTGCCTAACTGTCACTTCTGATGTACTTTGGTTTTGTGTCCCCACAGCAACCTGAACTTTCCCCAAAGATTTACTGTAAAGTTTTTTATAGCCTCCTATTGAGTATAAACTGTATTAGCCTGTTGAATCCTAAACTACACGAAGGCAGTGTGGGGCTTTTCCTGTTGGGTTATCATAAACGTTAGTCACCTCCTATTATACCACTTAGGAAAATGCTAATTAAAGATGTGGGACAGTAAAAATACCAGACAAACCTGTTCTTATGATACCCAAAGGGAATGTACTTGAAATTCTACAGCCACTTATCTACATAGACTTTGCTTGCTCTGCTCTGGGTGTCCTGGATTGCTCTCTAATTATATCGCCACCAAGGACATTTTCTCTTCTCATTTGCCTCTCTCCTCATCATTTTCTGCTACTTTTACCAACTAACCCATATGTGCTTTTGGTACAAAGTAATTACTAAAGCCTTTCTAAACCTTGTATCTCAAAGAAACACATTTTGTTACATATTCATAAGGCATAGTCCCTGGGAAAAAATAAAATAAATAAATAAAATAAAATAGAATCAGGTTTTAACTCCTACAGGTATATTTGTGACTAACACAAGTGATATTTTATATATTTGTAGAATTATGTTCTTATGTTGCTCTTATGAGTTCAGGAGCAAAGTCACAGGTACAGTTCTTCTGACCACTGCAAACTGAAAGAGGATTCACACCAAACACAAGGAAGCCTCCTTAATTATTAGTGGTAAGAAAACAGAGCATAAGACAGTGGTGTACATAAAGGTACAAGTACCAGGTGGATGGAGATCACAGTGATATGTATTTCTTTCAAAGTGACAGATACACACAAATTTCTAAAAAGCAATTCACTGTGAAAAAGAATTTAAAATATATAGTGCAACTGCGTACTAAAGGTAGCATAACCTTGTTACACATCAAAGTTCTCAAGCAGTTGGAATAAAGTTTAAAAAAAAAGAACTTTTTTTGGGAAGAGAAATATGACTTAAAATCAAGTGAAAGAAGAAAAAGTAACAGGAAAGGAATCTGAAAGATATCAGACTGGTGCAGCACATGCCCTTTAAGGTCCTTCTAACTGTTAAGACTCTACAGGTTGGCAATTTGCATTTTTTTTTTTTTTCATTTTAAGATATCTCCAGATTTACTCTTTTCTAGAGATTTAATGTTAAGAAGCCAAGTAGTTCAAGCAGAAATATCAGCCTTCATGTATAAATACCAATTTGGGAGAAGGGTTAAGAAGGTGTGGGATGACAAAGAGATTTTGTACCCAAAAGAAATAAAAAAAAAAAAAACTGAAGAACATCAAAGAGGAAGAAACATGCCTAGAGGTACAGTCTCTCCAACCTTAGCACTTAGTACAAGGCATTGGCACACCGTACTATTCGTGGGTTTTTTTTTTTTTTAGTTTCTAGCTAGCTAATGGACATGTCCCAACTTCAAAAAGGTACAATCATGCCAGAATCCCACTGATTAAAAAATAAAATGACTGCAGTTGTGAAGCTACTTCTTACCATTGATGTCACCACCAAGGCTGGAGAAAATCCCATCGTGAGATAGAAAAAGAGCTCAACCACTTTATACCTGCAAGAACAGAAAGATAGCCAATTAGTTTATATATTTGATACTGAGATCTGTTATATGTCAGCTTTTCCTCTTTTATTTTGAAAGAGAAGTACAAACTTTTAACTACTCAAATGAAATGCATTTCTCAGTAGGAGGCCACTGGGCCGTCTCATCTAACATACAATAATTGTATAATGAGGAGTTAGCATTTCTTTTAGGAATGAAAAGGTATGAAACTCCACATACTGCCTAGGAAATGTTTTTGCCCAAGACAGGAATGGTGGCCTATAATCCCAGCACTCATGAGGCTGAGGCAGGAGGATCACTGTAAGTTCGAGACCAGCCTCAGCTACAAAGTGAGCTCAAGGTCAGCCTGAACTGCATAGGGAGACCCTGTCTCAAAATGACAAAAAACAACAAAAAACAAAAAAAAAAAAACAAGCCAAACAACAAAAAAAGTTACTATTATCCTATATTTCATGGAGTAAAAATAAAGACCAATGAAACAAATGACACAAGTTCTCAAGCAGAGACAGAAAAACTGGTTTTAAAAAAATGTTTTCTGCCAAAAGTACTATAGCTAAATTGAATTAAATTCACCCTGTGTCTTTCCCTCCCCAGTCCTACGGTGTTTCCCTTTACTGCCATTTCAATCCCGAGCTACAGCACAGACACAGTGAAGACAGATGGAACCACACCGTGGGGCCTAGTTTGATCAGGAAAAAAGGACGGGAGTCCTCAGGAAAGAGCTTTGTCTCTTCATTTTGCATTTGTACAAACTACGGTTTCTAAGGATTATCACATTATGAAATATATGAAAACATTAAGAAACACACTGTATTAAATAAAGTTAAACCTATATTTTTACCCAATCCAGCTACACCAATAAGCCTCAAAGGCAGGGACCAGGTTTTTCTTACATTTGGATTTGCAGAGCCTAGCAGTGTGCCTGACACAATCTTACTTCTGCATTTCTGCCAAACTAAATGGCCAATGGTGACTTATACTTCATTCTCAGTGTTTTAGGGCCAAAACCTACCAAAAAAGTAACATCAGAAGGATGGGTTCAAAGGTTTGGTTTACATGAGAAGGCCTGGAAGAGGAGAAATAGCTGCCTTACTTTACTTCCTATTTTTATCCAAGGGTGTTAATTTGGGGTTTGAGTGCAAGAAACAAACTGTCTGCTTGAGTGTATGCATACTGCATAATACCACTCAGCATTGTCAATTATGATCAAAGGATGGGGAAGTGAATTTCAAAATCGGGGTTAGTGAAAGCTACCATTTTCCTCTGAAAGCAGAAAACAACACACTGACAAATACAAAGTGTGTTTAATTTTCAAAGTCACCCTGCCAACCACAATAAAGAATTTAATACACTGTAATTTAGTAAATCTAATGACAATGATTTCATGGTTGTAAGTTTCTCAAATACAAACCTATTAGAAAAGGAACTGGGACACTGGGACCCTGTCTTTCAGATGTGTCACTTGAAATATCTGACACATAGCCTGAATGTTCTAGAACTAACCTTGAAGGTTCTCTAGAGCCAAGATGATACATTTCAATAAGCTTTCAAAAAACAAATTTTTACAAAAATCACTAAACACTTATGAAAATGATCTATAAGTAAGGGGTAAAGAACTGTGCTCAGGCTACAAATACCTGGCATTTCACATGGCCCTTTTCTCAGGGAAGCCCTTTGGGATACTCTCTAATTTCTTGATTACATAAATGTGCTAGGTACCTAATATCTGTTATTTTCAGCCTCCACAGAAACACTGAAAAGGCTACTTTTACCATGTGCTGATAAATCTCAGTGGATAAGGCTGGGCTGTCTTGGCGTGAGACGCGAGGTCTTCCTGACTGAAACCAGCCATGCTGCCCAGTCTCTCAGTCGCAGTACACCACACATGTGCCTTTTATACCATCCCACACCAATCTGCCCACTAACCATGAATACCAAAAGGGTCTCAAAGATTTTTTTAAAATAGTATTTATTCTATTTATGTATTTCTACTATTATGAGGAGGAAACATGAATAGATAAAAATTTAGGCAATGAATTTTAATACGACCAAATGTAAATTATTTTTTCTTACTTTTCATGGTACAGAAATACATAAATGGTTCCTCCAGCTGCCATGAGCCAGATAAACCAACGCATATGAGCTGCCAGTGGTCCAAGTTCTCGGAGATTTAACCTACAAATGAAAACATGACAACAAAGAACAGAGGGATAAATGAAGGGAATTCACAAGAGCTGTGTTTTCCTTTGATCCCTTGGAAACTAAGGAAATGCTAGAATAAAAGCAGGAAGAAAAGGCACTCAACACACCAGATGGAAATTTAGGTAAAATTAATAACTCAAAGATAAAACTGTCAGCCAACCTTTAAGACTTAGAATTAGTTTTAGCATGGTTTAAAAATAGAACCAGTTATTATGGAGAAGTGAGTCTCAGCATACCTGTCATGCTCAACTTTCCCTGGCAAGGCAGAAGGAGGTAAAGGCTGCTTGCCTTTTTATTTCTGACCATGTATTTGGGAGCAGACTGCTTACACAGCTTAATGAGAACTCTGCCAAACACCCTGAGCCAGGATCACACACCCACAGCAGGTATATAGTATACAGACCACGTTTCTATCACCAGCCTCTCCAGCAAGACAGGCATGAGAATTATCCCAAAGTGTGTGATGGTACTTTGCTAGAATTTAAATGTGGATTTCTGTGAAATCTAAATTTTAAAATGCTGCAAATTCACTTATACTAATGTCATAATACAGATAAATGGAGGAAAACCCCCAAATGTTCTGATTGGCTGTCACTACAAATTAATATTGTCAAATGGAAAAGGTACCACTTGCATGTCTAACACTACAGGTGAACAAACTGCCTACTTTGATATTTGATTCTTCAGCTCAACTTAAATACTTTTCTTACTTATTTACTGATTTTAAATGGAAGTATATTTCACAAAAGCCTTTAAGAAATCTCACTCCGATATGAATCAGACCTATAATTTAGTAAGACATACTGAGGAGAGCCAGCACTCACTTTTTATTCTAACAGATAATTATGTTTCTTTTGAACAAGGCTGCCTTCCCCAGAACGGAGGGCCTGCTGTTTTCAATGACTACAGCAGGAGATGGCATAATATAAACTTCAGAGTGTTTGAAACTGGACCGTGTCTTGATAGAGGAAAACTAATGTTTCTGTAATTGCAGGTTGAACAAAAGATTACATTCACTCTGTACCAAAAGGGCAGTAAGACCAAGGAAACTGAGCAGAGTGCGAGGTTAACAGATTTGGTTAGTTATCTTAACTCAGACGGCAAAACCAAACCGGAATGTGCCAGTGTGTATTGCCCAGTGCTGGGAAGAGAAGACAAACCGTGTGAGTTTCCAAAGGAAGCGCAACTTTCTCATGCCATTTACACTTACAGCGTCCCTGAATTTCTACCTACTCTGAAAAGCAGATGGATATGGGGAGAATACTGGGGGTGGAGGGTCACAGGCTATGTGTTACAAAAGGAGCATGCCACCCAAACCCAGGTCAACAGCATTTCCTCTTAAACAAGTCAGTGCCCAGATATTTACTCTACACCGTGTTTTTCACATCTACAGTCTAACCCACGTAAATCACACTGGGGGAAATGCACATGCGTACGTGTTTGTGAGGGGGGCTAGTAGTATGCATGAGGGCTGGGGGCGGCAACAGGAGGGCAGGGAGGGAAGAAGGAAGGAGGAATGGGGACTGCTAACAATAAAGCACATTCTTAAGAACAGAAACATTTAATCTTACCATGGTGCGTAAGAAGCAGCAATGAAAAAATAGATAACCATCCTATCACACATGTGAAAACAATGTTCCACTGTCCTGGGGAGGGGAAGAAAACAAGTCAGATAAACCATTTAAAACGTTCTTCAGACCAGAAGTACGGGCTATCAGTTGCACAATGTTGCAATTTCCATACCTGTCTAGTTTCTTTCGGCATTTATAACTTGCCCTCTGAAGCCACATTGTTTGTTTTTAGTGATACGAAGCCACAAGTCCATGCTTTGTATTCTTTTTTAGGTTGTACACAAAACAGTCATTCTCACAGTTAGGAGGCCTAAGGTGGTGAAGGCAAACTCAATCCGTCTTTTTTGATAGTTTTCATTTATTTTCCAGCCTATCTAACAGAAGGATGAAATTCCTTGAGGGGAGATCATCCCCAAGGTCCTGTCATACTGCAGGGCACAAAGTCCTGATGCTCAGTAAACAATCCCTAAATGGGGTCACATTCCACAAGTTTTTCCAGAATAGGTTTTTCACTCACTTTTTATTTTAAATATTCTACTATAGACAATAAGTTGCAATTAAATAAATTCAGTAATTTGGGAATAGTCAAATCAACAAAAATAAACAAAAAAAGCGCATTTGTTACAAGAGGGTACAACTCAGATGTGTAAGCAACTCACTCTTTCCAAAATCAGGAAGTTGGGAAGGGTGGATAGAAAGGAGTGGGCGAGGGATATAGCTCAGCAGCACAGCACCTGGCTGGCCAAGCATGATCTGCAGTACAAAAAAAAAAAAAAGAAAGAGAAAATAAAAATATGAGTCTCTGAGGTTGCTTCAAAAACTAGGTTAGGTGGAACTGCTCCTTATCAGGTGATTAAAAAGCACAAACACATAGCATCATCTTGCATCTATTTTCACTGCCCACAGCATCACAGTTCTGATTGGAGGGAGCTGAAGTTATTAGGCCTTGCCCTGCCCCACGCACACAGAGTGTTGGCCAAAGCAGACAGCTGGAGACTTGTGTCAGTAAAGAAGTAAAAAAATACACTGGGAGCAAAAACGGTTTTAATCCAAAAGCTACATTTCACCCCTCAGTAACAATTCAGGTCATAAGTCTAAAGAAGCAAACAATTTATCAGTGCTTCTCAAAAGACTACGTATTATAATCAGCATTATGAAATGTAGCCATGGACTCCATTCCAGGAGATTTGCTACAAGGGACAGAAGATGGGGCACGAGGTAGAGGAAAGGGCATAAGATGTTTTTTCTAGCGACCGTTTTTTGAGACGGTTCTAATCCTACTTTCTCAATTATTAGACACTGTCAGAGCACATAGTCAGACCTAGAATTGTATTGAAGATCTGCTACAGACCTGTCTGAGACACATTTTCTTTACAAAAGAATGGAGATCTTTCTCTAGAGCAGGCAGAACATGAAATGTGATATTGTGGACCATGTATTCAGCACAGTACGTAGCATACAATAAATGCTACTTCCTTTTATGTACTTCAATTGAGGTTTTATTTGAAGATTTATAAGCTTAGTGTACAACAACAGTCTACATGTGGCTTACGACACTAGAGGCGCTATTTCAAGGTTCAGGCTCTGGTTTCTATTACACCTTCTCTGGTCTTGGCAGGCAGGCCCTGAATACTGAAGTAGGCACCTACAACTCTATTGATTCAGAAATCTAGACATCAAAGCCGAGTCTGCTGAGGCAACCACAAGCGTCACATCGTGCCAAGAAGATAATGAAGTGCTCTGCTTTCTGGCTGGCCCCTGGCCTCTGCGACAGCATGCCCCGAGGAGCCAGCCACTCCTGTGGTTCCCTTGTGAGTGTGTCCCAACGGGCCCTTGTGACTCAGTGCTGGGGTTTTATTTTAAGTCCTGAGAACTATCACCTTATAGGAAAGGGGAAATGACTGTAACTTATACACAGCATTGGGAAAGATATGGTAGAAAGAAGTCCAAAACGGGTTGTCTCTCTGACTTAGGTAAGCCAGGCCATTTGTCTGAGCCTCAGTTTCCTCAACTAAAAGTCAAAGTTTGGATTCTATGATCTCTCAGGTTATATGAGCTCTGTCCAGCTCTGAAACTCCATGATGGAACCAGTACTCATCGCAGAAATTCTACATCCTGCTTTTAAATTAAGCACAACTTTTAAAAATGAGAGTATCTGGTTATTTTTGGACACTACAAAACCAAAAGGCATATATTTTGAGTATTATCTTTCTCTCTCTCTTTTTTTTTGAGCACTTTCACTCTTTGATGATTTATCTATTAAATCATTTCAGAATCTACCTCATGTGCAACTTATTCTGGCCACAAGGTGTGGGGCTTCTTCTGGGGCTTCTTCTGTACTCTCCCAAGTGAATCCCTCACTTGGAGGAGGAATGCTTTTCTGTCCTTCCTGTTGGCAGATCCAGGGCCATCACAATATTGTTTGGAAAGTCCCTGACAATCAATAACTGCAAAATAATATTGTCTGAATAACAGACTCAAAACCTCATCCTGAAAGTTCAACTTCACAAAACCACAGTAACAGCAGTTCACCTCCTCACATCCCACAATCCTTCAGTCTTCTATAATTTTTGGATGGTTTTCACATAGCTTATCTTACTGGCCTATCACAATAACCTTGTGAGTCAGACATTACAATCCTCATTTTAGTGATAAAGAAACTGAGGTGTCAGGGAGCGGAGTGACTTGCCCAGGGTTAACTAGCAGGACAGAGACTCACCGCTGACTCCAATCTCAGTGTACTTCATCACTAAGCCACAGCTACTGCTCTCTTCTCCTTAGTACCCGTGAGAGAATTGGAAGACAGCTCTCAAGATTTCAAATTTAAAATTCTGCTGGTTACTCCGAGAAGCCTGCCTTCCTAGATGCAAGAGGAGTCCTCGAAGAAAAAAAAAAAAGAACTCTATTCTGCTCTGTATGAAAGTATCAAGTATCAGAGTATAGGCAACTACTTTGAAGGCAATAAGATTCACTATGATGCCCATTCTGGTTTGACTATTATCCTCTTTTGAGGTTCTGTAAGATTTACAATGTTTAGGTTTTATTGGTCTTGTTATCTACTGTTTTGTTCAACTTTATAATACCTAATGAGATAGACAATTCTTCTTAAGGAAGCAAGAGGCATTATGGTAACCATTGTTGATAACCTTGTACATTGTTTTTACATCATATGCTATGTCTATCCTTGGTTTTGACTGACAGCTTTATTTTATCATGCTTGATTTTATTCTCTTACAAAAAAAAAGTAATAAGATCTAAGGGAGCAATAAAACCCAAAATGTATAAATTTTGTTATAATAAATAGAGGGGAAAAAAAGTGCCCTAAAGGATACAACAGCAAGGGTGTTTAGGTGTGTTAAATAGAAGACCATATTAATATTTTTGATTGGATTACTGAACACAACTATTTGCAGTCTCACTGTTTGAATGTTCACTTTGTATGCTTTGATCCTGTGACCTGAAACACCGTTTCTAAGATGATAGCGTGTAATCTATTAACTGATGATAGCTTACTGTTTTTTTTTTTTTTGTAGTCCTGAATTACTTGTACCCTTACACTGTTTTGTTTTGTTCTGCTTTTTTTCCCTTTTTCCTTTTAAGTAAAAAATTAATTAATTAATTAATTTAAAAAAAAAAAAAAAAAAAAAAAAAAGAGGAGTCCTCGTACTCTGTCCGATCCAAAGAAAATGTCCTGAATTATGAGATAGCACCGGAACTGCAAGGCAGGACCACGTCTGTCTCCTGCCCGCCCGACTAAAACATATCCGCTTGGGAGTCAGCTCTTTGGGTCTATGGAAACAGCTCGCCATCCACAGTACCTTAAGTGGCTCTTTTTCCATGACACAATGTGAAACACCGTGGACACGATGAAGAGGGCACAGAGACCCATGCCATAAATCCACGCTGTTATCTGTTCCCAGCAGTCGTCAGACAGCCGGTGGAGGAGGGCGCTGCCCACGATGGCCGGAACAATGAGGAACTGAGGGGACAGAAAAGAGAAATACATGGCCCGGCTTTGACGGAAAGAGAATTTTTTTTTTTCTAAATATATATTTATCAGGTTTATCAGGAAGAATACAGACACACTAATATTAAAACCAGCATTATCTTTCTTGAATAAACACAAGCAGAGCCCGCTGAAGTTGTCTGCTGCTATGCTGGAAGCGGGTTCTGCTGATCAGAGCCCACAGCAGTGCCATCCAATACAGAAACAGGCAGAGATGCAACCATATCAACTGCTGCAAAACAGATGTTCTTTATCCTAATTTCATTCAATAAGGGAGCATCTCACTCTACTCTAATCTGATTTAGAGTAGACCTACCAATTCAAGGAACCAGAAAGAAAAATTTTGCTATCCGTGCTACACAGGGACACAAATTCAATGTCTAGCCATATGAGTATGACTATGACAAGAAACTGTTTTATAATACAGAAATTCCCCAGGTAACATAAGACTACCTTGTTAGATATTAAAATATATTTGCCTGGCAAAGAATGAAAATTTTAGCATCATATTTTTCTGGTTTTTTTTTTTTTTTTTTCTTCCCAACATCTCTTTCACTCTCTTGCATGGAACATGAAATCCTCCTGATGAGACAGGTACAAATTTCTTGATGCTAAAGTTTTTATTGGCCCAGAAGAAAAAGGGTAATAATACAAGTTTTTTATAAAATAAAACTTGTTTGCTTTGAGAACATATTTTGAAATTATGTCCTTTCTATTTTGTGTTTAAAATGTCTTCTTTTAAATGAAATAATGACAGGCAAGTTTTGGTGTCTAAAATCCAAAAATGTGGGATATAGTTTAACAAGACTATATTTTCTGTACCAAAATGTTAATGATCAATTTTCCTGAATTTCAGTTTATAAAAGTATCCCTTCACTTGTGAAGATATTGAGATTGTTTAGGTCCATCCTAAACAAATGTTATTCCTAAAGGTGGGCTGCATATCTCAGTATCTAAACCACTATACTGCACCAACGACACTGTCTGTGGTCATCACATAGGCTCCTTCTAAACACTCGCCACTAAAGGAACAAGCTGTCCTTTTGTTTTCTGACTGTATCTTGGCCACCATTTTCTCCTCAAAAGTCTCACATAATGAACTCTCAAAGGGAATAATAAAACCAAAGTGGAATGTATGATGACATAAGAAATGTTAATTATGTGACATTAATAGGAACCCCATCAATAATATACACAGAAATGCCACATAGACAAAAAGAGGAAATATATCAAAGTACTCCCAATTTATTTCTGGGTCATTTGTTTGCTTACATATTTCTCAGAATTTTTAAGGTTTTCTTATAATGAATGTGCTTTGTTTTTACAAGGAAAACCTTTATCAAGTGCTCAGGGACTCCATCAACGTTTGATTCAGTAACCTGAAAAATAACGTATGATCTGAGAAGCAAGTCTACTGTGGGGTGGCAGGATGTGGCTTTTAGAAGTTCACCTAGTGAAAAAACATCTTTTTCAACAAACGTGAATACTCCTTGCCAAATGAGCACAGGGGTGGTTATTTCATTGATGGGTAACAATCTTTATAAACAGGTTTCTCTCACCGTCTTATAACTGGGGGACATAGGTATTTCTACTCTTTGAAGGAAGACCTGGTTGTGGGAAGCCTGTAAGCATAAGCATGTCTGAACACAAAGCATTCTGTGTGCTCACAGCTTCCGGTGATAGGACCACCCCGGGGGGCTGGTGGCTAAGGTCAGAGATATGCTGAGGTCCCTGGAGAGAACCTCTCCCTCCAGCTAAATCCCTGTGGGAAGATCAGTGGCAGCAGAAAACCCATACTCACTGCATGTGTGTAACAGTTAGCAGCATGTTCGTAGCAAGTTGGTTTGTAACGGCCATTGGCTGGGGCCCGATGGTTCATGAAACTGCAGAAACAAAAAACCGTCATGTGAGAAAAGCTCAAAGCCTGCGAACAGCAAGGAGGAAGCCTGCCGTGGTTGTTTGGTCTGCTCTAAATAAAGCAGTCACTAGTGAAAATACCTCATTACCAGAAGAAAACTAAAGCCATTAAACAGTTTTAGGCTGTGTCAACAGCAATGGTTCTAAAACAAAACAAATTCCCTGCTTTAGTAGATGAAGTGTTCTTTCCGTTTACTCAAAAGATAACCTTGCAACCACCCAAAAGCAAACTGACACCATACCCAATTCTTTCTCTGGTACCCCTGCAACTGCAAAAACAAACATACAAGCAAACAAAGCTACAACCACATCTGAAATCTTTTTTTACTTGTGTGCAGTGCTGGGGACTGAACTCACAGCCTTGTATGTTTCAGGAACATGCTCTATCACTGAGCTACAGCCCAGCCCTTAAATCTTAACAGATTTTAAAACAGAAGTTTTGTGAACTTTAGCTATTGTCAGTAAATAAAAAAGGTACACATTGCACTTGAAAGGTTTCTATTTTCCCTCTCAGAATGCAAAAAGCTTTATATATGCAGATATCAAAAACCTACGTCCACGATTACAAGACCTATCCAACCTGTTTTCCTATACTGTATTACCTGTTTGGGGATCAGGCAGCTACATTGATACCTGGCTACCTGTAGGTCGGCTAAGCAAAGAGGATATTTACGCCTTCATTCTTCCTGAATTCAAAGGGTTGGCTTCAAAAATCAAAACATGTGATGAGAACCTGATATTCTGACTAAATTTCACAGGAACACACACCATAGTGTCTGTATTTATCAACACCTGTCACACAGACTGACCGTATCCCACACTTTCCTTTGGGCTAACTTTATCACAGTCAGCAAAGACCGGAAACCTAAATACCACAGGACGGAAAAAGATGGCAGCAGTCTTCTGTTTTGGGCAACAGGCACACCCACACACCCACACCCACATCAGGTTTCCTGGGGGATTCTGGATTAGTGAGAATGTTCTCCGGAAGGAAAGAAAAGCAGCTGCCTGAATGGGCCAAGAAGCAGTTACAGAAACACACAGAGTGAAAGAGCCCTGCCAGCCCTCAGGTCTCCACAGGCCAACCTGTCAGCCGGCTTTGCACAATAATCATTTTGCTCAAACTAATCTGGAGAAGGGGAGTACTTTTTACCATTAATGATTTCGAGGCTGACAAAAGGCAGAGCTATGTTGTTAAAAGTTGAGTGAAATGCATATCAGAACCACTCTGAAAAGTGCCAGTTTTATGACTATAAGGCTAATCAATGCTATCTCCCTGATTTAAAGGGGCTGGCATCTTTTGATGAAATAAATAAAACAGTGCCTGTTAACCCCATAACATGGTTCAGGTGTTGCATCTACTATGGGACAAATTTGGGACAGTAAAGATACTTCTCTGGGACTACCGACAGCTTAGATAATCAACTAGTATGCAAAATAACTACTTGCTGAGTGTAATCACCTGACGATTTGAAACTGTCTCGAGAAATGTACAGCTAGCAGCATCCAAATTTACCCAAGCTATTTTTGAACACAGATAAATAATTTCAAGCATCATCTTTTCTCCCTTGACGATCTTTTAAATAATATGCCACTAATTTCTTAAGGGACAAGAGTGTGGCTATACAGTCCTTATGAGTCAAAAAAATAATTACCCTCTTGGGAAGAATGCTTTTTAAGTGTCCCAAGCACTGAAGAATCTACCACGTCAATACCTTGAGTCGTAACAACAAAGCCATGGATAACATACCATGGCAGGGCTGTCAGAGAGTAAACAGTGACTCTCCAAAAAGGCTGAGGTTGGATTAAACTCCAACTGCTCTGTGGAGGATGCAGTAAGTAGGATTTCTCTACCCACTACCAGGCTGCAGACTAAAATAGCAATTTATATCTCTGGCAGCCCAATCTAAAAATAGTCAGGCCATTACACAGCAACAGGGCTAGACTTTCATTTTCTCCCACTAGCAAAGAAGCTAGGTGCTAGGTTTTTGGCAACTTAAGTCTGCGTGTATGAACTAATTTCAGGTTCAACAAAGTAAGACATTTATGAGAAAAAAAATGGCCCATTCTGGTGACCTAAGGCAGCCTCTGCTGATGGACAGCATAAGACTTGGGCCATAAGGAAAGCTAAGAGCAGCTATGCTGCTATATTTTCATTTCTGGGGCTCAGTAGGATAGACAGTACAACTGTTCTGCTGAGAAATTTTCATGCAATTTTCCCATTTCTCTCTGATCCACCAGAGCGCAATCAAGCCTCCTCGACAGCCTTCTGAAGAAATCACTTCTAAGACTTAAATGGAAAAACAGATGTAAAATGCAAATAAACTCCCACACAGGAGCCTAGAATCAGCCTGCCTGCCTAAAATGAGGAAAGTTCAAGCGTGTTTATGGAAGTCAGTTAAGGAAGTCAGCCTCCTGGTTACCCAGCACTCTGAAAAGGGTGATCAGCCTGCCTTAGAGGACCTAAGGGAGGATGATTTCATCCTGGGAGTTGAAGCCACGCTCAATAAAGCTATTAGTTAGGCAGGGTTTGTTCATCCATCACCTCGCTTTCGGCGTTTTCTGTGTGTGCCCCTTGCCCAGTGTCCTAATGTACACACTTCTCCATGAGAAGACTGAGGAGCTATGGAGAGAAAGATCAGGGAACGATGTGCCTCTGCAACCCACCAGCAAGTCTCAGAGGTCTACAAACAGATCCGATCGAAACTTGTCCTTGAATCCTCCGTGCTCTTTTCCCAAGCACAAGTATTGTCAATTCTATATTCCAAATCGGTCCACTGCTCTGTAACTCCACAGTTCTGCTTCAAATCAAGACACCGACATCTCAACTCTACGAAGATACAGCTTCTTAACTGGCTTTGCTGTTTTGTCCCCATGCAGACTTTCTTTTTTTTACACAGCAACAGGAATCTATGAGGACCAGCACACACCAGCCATGGTAGCATAAGCCTGAAAGCCTACTAATCAGAGGCTGAAGCAGGAAGATTGTAAGTTCAGGGTTAGCCTAGATAAACTAGCTCCTGCCTCAAAATTTAAGATGAAATAAAAAACAGCTGAAGCTGATGGTATAGTTCAGTAGTAGCGTACTTGCCTAATATGCGAGAACAATGGTCAGCATGAAAAATAAAAACAAACAAACCTCCGGCACACACATCACCTCACAGCCTGCAAACCTGCTGCTGGCTTCCCACAGTGCTTCAGGAAACACTGTGCTTCATCCTTGGCTTAGTGGACTTGCTCTCACAATCCCTCCAGTCTCAATTCCTCTCCCCTATTCTCTAGCTGTACCACTTCCTTTCTGCTTTGTCTACAAGTCAAGGTCTTGTCTGCCTCAAAGCATGGGCTGTGTGTTTCTACCCAGCAACCCTCAGCTCTTCTCATGCAGCCTTGAAGCTTAGAGGAAAGCCACCTGCTCAGAGAGACCTCTCAGGCCCTCCTAGCTTAAATTAGGACTTTAGCCTTCCCAATCCAACCATAATCCTTATTGTAATTAGTAAGAATTTGTTGTTGTAAATTTCCTGCTGTAATAACAAAATCCACGAAGGCTGTTTTGTTCACCATGTCATTTCCAATACCAAGCACAATGCCCAGCTTATGGCTGAAGCTTAGTAAATAATTGATGAATGAAAGAATAAAAAGACAGACATTCCAGTTACTGCTGAACTATTTTAACAGAAAGATATCCCAGTCAATGTAGTTTCAGTGGGATTCAGCAGGTTTTGTGTACAGAAGAAACAGGTAGTCTTAGAGCCTAAGAACTTTGAATCTCATGAAAAGAAAACTCAAAGGCCAAGGTGACAGATATTCCCAGGGTTCCCCTTCAACATGACTTGACGTTGCAACTTAAGGTACCCTGTATGCAGGACCTCATTATTAGTGTCCCTTTAGAACTAAGTATATTAGTTCAGGAAGTGTCCAGTGCTAACAGGGGTACACCTGACTTAATAATTATATAAAGGAGAAAGGTGTATGTTGGAAGACTCCCACACAGAGACTACCACTAGACGTTCTAACACACACACACACACACACACACACACACACACACACAAACGACTAGACTAAATCTTCTAACACATAACATGAAAAGATAACACACAGCTCTGGAAGATTTCCCAGTGTTTGATGCTTTCCCATACATTCAAATTTAAAGCAAACCATTGGTCATAAATCTGGAGCTAAATAAGGCAGCATCCTTTAACTTGAACACAGATGTGTGGTGTGGGCAGGAAGAGAGGGTGAGGTAGTAGCCAAGGTGGTAGAGGGAGACCATGAAACTGAATTCATGAGTCTGCCCTTCCTAGCTGGAGGCCTGTTACTCTTTAAACCTATCTGCTCTTCTATGAAGTGGGTATCAAATCTGTATCTTTCAGGATTATAGTTAAAGGATGTGATGAATAATGTACAGGTACCCATCCAGTGTCCTGGTATAAATAGGCTCTCAATGAATGCAAGGAGCTATTATCATCAGGCAGAAATGCTGTGAAGGAAAAACAATGTCTGTGTGTGTGTTTGTGTCTGTCTGGGTATCCTGGGAGACTCAACTGTGAAAGGGACAAAGAAAGAAAGAAAATATGCTGTGTCACACTGGAACTTGTCATCTCTTAAGCTTCTTGAGAAGCCACGGTTGCAGAAAGCCCTCCACTCAGGATGGCAGATTGTTTCTCTACAGCTTCCTCCATAAAAAATGGCAGAATTCTGGATGCTGATCCGAAGCCACAGTAACCGCCAACTTTCCATTATGCGCACATCAGCAAGGTGTTCTTGTTATTGGCCATAGCTACAAAGTACGGCCTAGTAAAATGTTTTCTTCTGCAAACCAAGGCTCCTCAATCAAGTCCTGATGCACGTGTCAGGGGAAAGAATACACTGGCTAAAAGGCAGTTCCTGTTTAATTTGCCTACCTGTAACTACAGTGAATGCTCAGAAAAGTGTATAATGAATACAGTGGGGCAAGGTATAGAATAGTATTTTCAACATTTTAACACGTGAACCACAAAAAATCAGGCCTTTCTTGTCATATTAGTTTTTATTTACAGGCTTTATTTCCAAGTTCAAATTGATGCTTAGAAATAGCTCCCCAATCTAACCTACATTAGATAGAGAAACAGGAAAATATGGAATCATGTAAATCTTCAAAGCAAAATTAGGGTAGATCTACATGTCACCAATAAAAAACAGAACTACCCATGAAGTCCAGTAACGTACAGCCACTGAGAAAATTACAGTTTTTGCTACACCAAAAGAAAATGCTTGTGTTTTAAACTTTTTAATGGATAAAACAGAATCCCAAATCACACTACAATGGTGTTAGTAAGGACTAGAGAAATTACTGTCCAGCAAAAAGAAGACAGTGCAGTCAGCTGATGGTAATTTTTCCCCTCTCTTTTAGCACTGTTTTACTGTTTGTGCAAAAACAATAAAACAGGCTTTTTTCTTGTCCTGCAATAATTCAAAGGGGTGGACAAAAAAATGCAAACCCTTAATCAAATAGGGAAGGGATAATTTCACTGAAGATAGTCACTGTTCTCTAAAAACAGGAAGAGCACAGGCGTGCAGACAAATAAAACCAAATCAAACAAACCACATGCGCCAAACCTCACTGATCATGTCTGGCTGAATGTTCCATTCTGCTTGGAGCCCCTCCAGTCTCATGCCTGACATCAGGTTCTAAAGCCTGCACACTATGGTTCCCTTAAAAGTATTGGTCTGAACTTCCTTCTTGAGGACTAGTGCCAAGCATTCAACACCCGCAGCGAGGAGCGATATTCAGATGTCAATACAAGTTGGCAGGCTTATGCCTCTGAAGGCATTAACCACCACTTTCTTTTGTGGTCTCCTTTACCTTTTGGGACTGGAGGTGGAATGAGATACACTTAATGGGTGAATAAGCAGTTAAGGAAAAAGGAATGTTGAGCATCAGGAGGCTGAGGCAGGAAAATCATTGCCTAGTTCGAGACCAGCCTAGGCTACAAAGTGAGCTCAAGGCCAGCCTGAATTGCATAGGGAGACTCTATCTCAAAAAGACCAAAAAATAAATAAAAGAAAGAAAGAAAAGAAAAAGGAGTTGAAAGGAAAAAATACGCACTTTGAAATAAAAGGCAGTATCTTGAAAACTCAACAATAACCTCTCCTTGGAAGATTACATGCATTTTTCCAAATTCCTCACCGCAGCACGCACAGCCTGCTGGTGGGGAAGGTCTGGAAGTGGGATGTCTCCGTGGTTTCAGACAAAGGGATGGAGTTCCCACAAACACAGGCGAGCTGAACTTTCACCTACTTAGGAGGCGTAGAAAAGCGCAGAGCTTCCTTTGAGAGTTCCAGCCAGCAGCCTCCATCCATCGCTGGAGGGTAGAGACCCGGAGAGGGTTGCGGCCCTGGTAGCCCCTAGCCTGGTGTTCCTACCCGCTCTCCTTCGACCTGCCTACCTTCCGGTGGCGCCTCTGCTGCGCCTCCTCCTCTCGGTTTCCTAACCCACGCACCCCAACAGCAGGTATCTCTACCCGAATGCAAGCTTGCTCCTCAGCAGAGCCAAAATAGCACCGCCCTGAGATTCCCAGCCTGAAACGAACGAGGAGGCCACCCTATACCTCAGGAAAAGGCTGCGCCGGGAGGTGCGTGCCTCAGTTTCCCTGTTGCTAATGCCGTTCACAGAAGAAGCGCCTAAAAGGCCCAAGCCACCGGGCCCCTGCTTTTCGACAGATCTTCCACTGATGGCGTAATAGCGACCCCCGGGGAATGTCCCCTCCACCCGATACCCTGGGGTAAAAAGGACTGAGGCCTGGGCTTGGGTCCGAAGACCCAGGGAAGGCGCTAAGCGGAGGCTCCGGTCTTCACACCGAGCATCAGGCCCGCCCGAAACCAGGTCGGGGTCCAGGGACCCGGCCGGGGGAGGAAGCCAAGGAGGAAATACAGGAGCGGGGACCCGGCAGGCAGATCGCGAGCGGCCACCCGGGTCCAAGAGCGCTCCCCGGAGGAGGGGATTGCGGGCGGGGAACCCCGGGAGCTGGTCCGGCCGGACGCGGGACCAACGGGGTGGGGACGGCCCGGGAGAGCAGCGGGACCCACGCGCACCGAGGCGCCCGGAGACCAGCTCCCCGCAGGCGCGGCAGGCGTGCGCGCGCTCTCACCGCTGGAATCGGCTCTGGAACCGCATTGATCCTCCGCTCCTCCGCGCGGGCCAGGAGCTCCGTCTCGTCAGCGCCGGCGGCGGGGCGCGCGGCCCTCATGGGCTTGGGCTGCTCCGGAGGCCGCCCGCGACCCTGGCGGAGCCGCTCGACCAGGGAACGCTGGAGTGGGCCACGGCGGGGGTCGGGACAGGGCCGTGGCCAGACCCGCGGCTGGGGGCGGGAGGGAGGCCGCTTAAACGGCCCCGGCGCCTCCCGCCTCCCGCCTCCCGCCTCCCGGCTTCTCCGCCTCCGGGCGCCCGCGCCCCGCCCCGGAGCCTCGCCCCACCCCTCGCGCCCGGCCCGCCTCACCCGCCCAAGGCCTCACGTCATCGCGCCGAGCGACCAATCAGAGCCTGAAGCGGCAAGGCCGCGGCGCTGCCATTCATTCAGGCGGAGCTGGGGCCGGGGGCGGGGCCCTGCGCTGGGGGGCGGGGCCATAGGAAAGGGGAGGGGTGCCATCTCGCTGCTCAAATTTGAGACTCTCAAAAGGCAAACCTTAGGCTGTCTTCACTGCAGTGTTTGCTTGCAATGAAGCATTACAAAGCTGGAGAATTAGCTCTCCTATGACTCTGATTTCCTCTTTTTTAGCCTCCCCAGTGCCAGGATTTAGAAGAGTGCTTTCCATGATGACTCCTTCAGTCTTGCCAGTAACTCCTCCAGCTACATATCCTGTTTGTTTCAGACAAGGAGGCTGCTGAGGCTTTTAGAGGTTAAGAAACTTGCCAAATACAAAAGTACAATTTCTACTTAGCCTCCTAACATTAAAGTCCTTAATCTTTTCGGTAGACAGACTGCCTCTCCCCTAGTTTTAAAGTAGTAACAAGTCTTTTGAAACATAGACACTTCATTGTTTTTTTTTTTTGTTTGTTTGTTTGTTTTGGGGTCTCACTGTGTAGTTCAGGCTGACTTTGAGTTCGCGGCAGTCCTCCTGCCTCAGCCTCCCCAGTGCTAGGATTAGAGGCATACACCACCACATGCAGATAAATGCTTTGTTTCCCCTCACACACACATTAAATCAGAAGAATGAGAAAAGAGTTGAAAGTCTACTATTGATTGGTTACTTGCGATGTGTGAGCTACATTTTCAACGGGGAAGGGAAAGATATCAACAAAATAATTAATAAAAATAGGTTAAAATTAGTCATATGAAATAAACTAAGAAGGGTTAAAAAATAACCTCAGTTGTAATAAACGTACCGCGCCGTTGAGGGATGTTGATAATGGTCAGGCTGTGTGGGGGTGGGAACAAGAAGTGTATGGGAAATCCCTGTATTTTCCTCTCATTTTTGCAGTGACCCTAAAACTGCTCATAAATTGTGTTTAAAAAAAGAAAGAAATGAAGTACTAATACATGCCAAAACATGAAAAAACCTTGAAAGCACTGTTACATTAAAGAACCCCGTTGCACATTGTACTGTTACATTTATACAAAATATCCAGACTAGGCAAATCTATAGACAGGGAAAGCAGAGTAGCAGTTGCCTAGGAAAAGGAAGTGGGAAGGGATGGGGCTTGGGTGATGGCTTAGAATTTCTTTGAGGTACTAATAAAAACGTTCTAAAATTGTGGCAAGGAACATACGTATAAGCCATTGAATTGTACACCTTCACTGAGTGAATTGTGTGGTGTATGAATTATAACACAATAAGATTGTTAAAAAAAATTTTGACAAACAAAAAACCTGGCCAAAATTACCAACTGCCTTCATGGGGGGTAAAGGCAAAGGATAATATAAGAAACACAGACAAATTTAGTAATGCACAATGGGGGGCCAGGAGGTCAATGTCTCAGGATGGGCAAAGACCCAGATACTCCAAACCAGCCACTATGTACAATGCAGTGGGTATATACAATGATAGAAGAGGCTAGCAGAAGATTCAGAGATCCATAACTCAGCAGGCAACGAATAATCCTAGACTGTCTCAAGAAGGCAGAGATAATCTTATGCTAAGAAGGATGTTACTCTGAAGTGGTCTTTTTCATCTTGGTAGTTTTAGCTTAGCTTTAGTGGATGGGAGAGGATGGCCCATCCCAAGAGTTCATGGGAAGTCTCAAAAGGGTGATACCATAATCCCAAGCCTCCCTTTATCCCTTAAGGAAAGATGCAAAATTAGCCATTGTGAATTTGTGGTTCCTAATACCAGTTTCTATAAAATGATAAAAAATTGAAACAGGGGATCAAACTCACGACTGCCTGCTTGCAAGGCAGGCGCTTATGCCTCTGAGCTAAATCCCCAGGCCCAGGTTTGTATTTCTTAAGAGACTCACACATAATGTCGTTGGTACTCCATTAATAGTTACTTATATGAATCTGAATTTTAAAAATAGCCGAAAATAACAATACAGTGAATCAACAGATGCCAGGTCACATCCTGTGGATGATTTAGGGATCTGCAGATAAGAAGTGACCTCAGTGCGGTGAGGCTGATGCGGGAATGAAGTGCTAGAGAGAAGGCACCACTGGGCACAGCCTCTCACACTGGAGGAACAGCTTGCAAGAAGAGAGGTGATCATCAGTGAAGGGAAAATGTGAAAGGTTAGCCCAGGTTTAGGAACAGCAATGTGATTGATATTCACTAAAGAAAACATAATGAGATTTTTAGAAGATCAAATTTAAATAGAATAGAATAAAGCACCTTGATCCACAGAAATGCAGAACTGTTAACGGAAAGCATATTATACAAATCTGGTCACAAATTTAAATTAGCCTCCTTGCTCATGAACTCCACTTTCCAAGGTAAAAAACAAAATACAAAAGTAAAACACAAGTAATAGATTCAAATGAATGTATCATGTAAGTACCTGCCACCCATTTTTAGTGAGATGTCCATTTCCATATGTTTCTAGGGAAAAATCTCAGGTCTGTTTGCAGAAAAGAATGATTAGATTCAGCTTAGAGATTAGAAATGGTGGGAGCAGAAGAAAATTGAAAACTTTTTGCATTTGCAAAATGTGACTTTTTTTTTTAAGTTCAGAGCTGTAATACTTCCTGCAAAACTGAAGACACACATTTGCATGGACCAGACTGTGACTTTAAGGAAGGATTTGCAATGGAGCGGATGCCGAATACAATAGAAACATCTGTGAGGACACCTGCTCTGATTGCCAAGGGATAGAGCTCCTAGATAAGATATTGACCTTATGAGGAAACACCTGGGACCTGATCGCCTGACCGTAGCCAGCCAATCAGAAAAGAGCAGATCTGTTTCAAACTTGAGCTCTAGACCTGGGAACCTTAAGGAAACTTTTGATCTCACACTGTTTCTGACTTTCAATCTGTGTCTTTACAAATATGAAGCAGATATTCACAAATGTGATAAAACAAGTATTTAAATATAGATGCTCCCAGGATTTCCTCCTCCTCTGGAAAGAAAAATGTTGTCTTTACCTATTAGGTCTTCAGTCTACATTCCTAATCTGTGAGTTCCTAGTTATTCCAGCTTCTAGACTTTCATGAGAAAACAAAGGGAAGAGAAAAAAGACCTGGGGAGGAAAAGAAAAGACTTAGAGAAAGAATTTAGGCAAAGGAAAGTGATTCATAGAATTCGAACTAAGAAGCATGAGAAGAAAATGAAAGGAATCCTGTCTTACTCAGAGTATGAATATTTTACTAAGGACATGTGTCAGATGCTCTAGTCTTTTCCAACAAATTTAGAGTCCTTGCTTTCCCCAAAATTAACATTATCTGATTACAAGAGACACTTTATAAAACTCATGTCTGGGCTTCATTTCAACCAAAAGAATAATAAATTATATTCCACGAAATGTAGATCCCCTTCAGTGGAGGTCATTCAGCTGTTTGTCCTGATGTTTTTTGATTTTTAAGGTAGAAGTAATAGGAAGCCAGTGGAGGTAGTCAAACTATAATTCTTTTATTCTGCCAAAGCCAACCAGGAATGGAAAAAGGTTTGAGAGATTGTTAGTCTCTATGTGTGGTCTCAGATATTCTATTTATTTGTGATAAATAAGCAGTGGTGGCAAAGAGGAAACATAATTCTTCTTGAAGGGAGGAAAGCAGAGCATGTTGTTGGGAATGTCCATACATATTTCTAAACCTGCACGCACTGAAAGATTCAACTCTGAAATCCCACCTGCCGTTATGGGTCATCCAGATACAGTATAGCACCAATCACTTGTAATTCAAGTTCCACTGTGCTTTCTGGCATAAGACCTTGGAGTTTCCTTATATGATATTGACTCTGTTATCCATGGGCTCTGTAGCTCCATATTCAACAAAGTGTGGAATTTGATACCCTTGGGTCCAGTGCTCCACAGAACCAAGGGTCAACCTAAAAGAAACACAAACCTGAGTGATACTCATCTCCCAAAAAAGTAATGTTAATTGCTACTAAACTAAGGACCTAGGGAGTTTATAACTGAAAGTAGGAGAGACTCACTGAAAAACTTGAAACATACAATGAGGTGATGAGTTTTATATTCAGAAAGTTCTCTCTGATCAAATTCAGATGAAGCAACAATTAGGGTATGTTACATAGGTGTACCAAGCCCCCAATGATGAATGTGATCATTATAATACTGCAAACATGTACTAATAAACATTAAACAAAAGGACAAATTTACATGAAGAACGGTTTGAAAGTACAGATGAAATTGCTGGTTGAATTGTCTATATCACCTCTAGCAGTAGGGTTTTCATGATTACTGACATGTCCTAGATCTGCATTGCCACTTGTGGCTTGAGAACCCTTGCAAGGTGCTCGGAGTGCTCTCAGCCATCCCAGAGCTTGTTTGGCTGATTTTTTTGGCACTGTGTACTGATCCCAGAAACTTGATATTGAACTATACACCTCAGCCATTTAAACATTTTTTCTTTTAGTTTGAGTTAGGGTCTCCCTTATCACTGAATTGCCCAAGCAAGACTTCAACTTGTGGTCCTCCTGTCTCAGCCTCCCAGAGTGTTGGGATTTGTGGACAGAGCCACCATGCCTGATTCAGCCCGATGTTCTTTCACTCAACTCAGGTAGAAATCACAAATAGGCAGCCGATAGCCACCAAAAGTGGTTTTACTGGGGTTTATACTTGAGCAGAAGGGAAGCAGCATGTGAGACAGGGTTCCCAGACTGGCTTTTGATGGAGAATTTAGACAAAGCTTTTGAAGCCCTGCTACAGTGCTGTGCAGGCACACTGGGTGGTGGATGCTGCACACAGTTCAGGATTCCTGTGCATATATTGTCCATCTTTTGCTCTCAGCACCAAGGTTTAGATTTGATACAGCCTGGGTCTGCCTGTCCTTGCTGCTGCCACCCCAGGAAGTTA